CCACTGTGCAACTGAAAATTTAATCAAGAGAACAAACAAGTAGGAATCTTTTTCTTTAGCCCACAGATTATGCATTTCAGGCCTGGCCTCCTGGACTATTTGTCCATTTTCTTCATTAGATAGCCACAGGTTTTTAATGAAGTCATTCAGAAAATAGGGAGTGGAACTAGGAATACCCTCTTGTAGCTGGACACCTACAACACTGCTTCAGAAGAATCAGGCTTCGCAGCACTTTCCATCTCCATCTGGGAGTTTTACAAGCTAATGCCTATCTTCCAGCCAGTACAGCTGAGTCCTACTCTATTGGAAGGTAAAGTAGCATAATATATATTCTGATTTATATCAGGACATATATGCTGACACATGATTGCAAAAAGTGCGGTACAGAGGGAATCAGAAGCCTTATCACTGAACTTGTTCTGTGCTGCAATCTTTTACACAGAGTTCGTTTTCATACTCTGGCTTCTGTCTGGCGAAAACAGAGCAGATCTGGATCGTGACCCCATGTTATTCAACCAAAGGATTAAAGGAGCTTGCATGACTTGCTCTAGCTCTTATCAATGTGTTTTAAATTATCTAAGTTTTCAGTACTGAAGGTTTTGAAATAAGGTATGCAGTAAAGGAATAAAGACCAGTTGTAAAGTGATATGCAAAGTAAGCAGAATTATAAACGTCTTTTCCAAGTCGCAGACATGTATCACTGTTATCTTCAGGTATCTTTATACTGTAATTATAACTCTAGTTAAAAACCATCTTGGAACCATCCAACTGCAAGCTGCAAGATCTTAGAAATTACTGTTGTTACTGAAAAACTGCATTTTAGCTTTAGTTCTGTAAAGAACTCATGCATGGAGAATGCACAAACTGCTATATTTATAATGAAATGGATATGGTAAATTGTGTTATTGTACTGCATTGAATAAAAGCTGATTGTTAGCCTCAAAAACCTCAATATCAAAACCTCACTAGCTGCACCATCCACAATTAAGGTTATCTTGTCTTACGCCTTCAGTGATACTCTTGCTGATGCCCAGTGGGTGATGAAGAATTCCCACAATGCTGAACACAGAGGAAACAAAGAAGGGAAAGAGTATGGAGTAAGGAAGTTAGTCACCACTGAATTATCTGTTAAAGAGGTTTGAGCAGGGAGGGAAAAGTAAGTCTGGAAGTCATACAGGGTTGCAGAAAATTGAGGTAGCTCAAACTGGACAATCAAAATTTATAGAAAATTTTAATCTCCATACTCTCTTTACCTATAAAGTGACAGATATGCCCTCCCCCTGTCCCCTATCCTTGCAAGTACATTATTTGATGATTCCAACATAAAACTTGGCTCTTACAGAAAATCCTTGTACAAAATAACTGGCTGCAGAACTGAGTAGAAATAATGTGCAGTACATCATAGAAAAAGAAAGAGTGGTGTTAAAGAGAAGAAAAAGCACCATAACAGTGGAGTACCATTCATTCTGGGCACTGAGTGAGGCATTATATTAAAGACTTCTGGTCTCTGCTATATTTACCTTTCCACTGTTTGAATTTATGCCTCTTCTCAAGTTATGGCAATTAAAAGTATAAGGAGATTATTTTTTGTCCCTCCTTAAGTAATACACTTATTCTCAAGTTTTTATCCCCTCAGATGTCTTAAGTAAACACTTCACGAAATTCGAACTTTACACTTTAATTCCCTGTCTCCTCCCTAGCTTCTTTTATTGCAGTTCTGGAAAGGACAAATTCCACACCCAGCTCGCCAGGAAAGCAAGACGCCTCAGCACGCCGCCACCAAGCTCCCAGCCAGTACACCAGATGGGAACATAACTGGCAGCATGTTGCAGCTAAAGGCTTTCAGTTCAGGGTGGTTGAATTCCCACATCATGTGCGAGCTCATGTCAGGTTAAACGTACCCAGACTTAGTGGGGCAGAGGGAAGGAAGACGAGCAAGAAGAAAGTATGTGACTTGCAGTGGGTTTACGCTAGCCTTTGTTCACTGTGACAAAGCATAGTATATAAAATGAACGTGACTTGTGATCAGATTTTAAGGCAGTAATGCTGTAGCTCCATTTTGAATCCTTTCTTAACATCCTATTACAGAGAATCCAGCAAAAGTTATGGAATGTAAACTGCACACATAATTTTCATTTTCTAAACAAAATTATTTTACTTGGGTCTTTTCTTAGGAAAGTATACTGAATTATCTCAAAAAAAGGCAGCAGTACTAGCATTCTGTGCTGCTTGACTTCAGACTTCCCACTAGAGGGATTACATTCTCTGAGATGTGCAAAATCCGTAGCTATTTATTCTACATAGATTTCTTACTGGTGTATTTCTAATGCAATGATCTTATTGTAACTTAAAAGGCTACCATAGCTCAGTAGCCCTTCAGAAGGCAGATGCTAATCTCCTTGAACAGCCATCCTTTGCAGCCTTCCTTTTCCTCAGATAAAAACTGAATAAACAAATGCACCAGTGCAAACAAAATGCCTACCCAACAAACCATATAAAATACATCACTTTGTTACATGTCTCTCAGGTCTTTTGCTCATGTGTGGTTGAATTTAAATAATCTTGCAAATATTAACTACTGAGTGCCGTATTCATTACCAGTACTCTCAGCAGAAGCACTGCAAATGGAGGATGATGAGGTATTCATGTGAGTTCAAGTACAAAAAAACTCCCAAACTTACGAAACACATCTACCTTTTCTATACAGCTACAGCTGTACAGTTCTAGTATTTTATCTACCAACTGGTCTGAATCTTATCTGGTTTTTTTATCACGAAAGCAGTTACAAATTCCTGTCTATTATCTTTAAGCTATTAGCAACACATATATACTATTTGACATTTTGCCTATCAGTGTATAACTCTTCAAATCTTATCACTTATATTCTTTGCCACTTATTTTCAATCTTTCAGCCTTTAATATTTTTATGACTGTACCTGGATCCTATTTTAATTAGGAAGGTTTCTTGCCCAGACACTAATATACATACTCTAACAAGGTTCAGCATGGTGTCTCCAATAACCTACACTGCACATGATTAAGTCTGGTAAATAAAACTATTTGACCGCTGCACATTTTTATATCAACAGATGCTTATTCAAATACTCTTGCAAGATAGGCATTTCTTAAGCTGAAAAGCTTGCCAGATTCACTACTTTGTTTCACAGCTGCCCTGAAAAGATGGGCTTTGTATATGCTATCCTGTGTGATGAAGGTATTAAATAATGATTTGTCTCTTTCTTTTGGCAACCCTATTGAATACGAAATTTCACAGAACACCACAGTACTTGTTTTCATGTTACTGGCAACTATTAACAGTATCAGTGTAATTGGTGCTTAAATAAGAAAAATATATGCTATATAGATGTCTGAAAGCCCTGTTTACTGGTTGACATAGAAGCTGAAAAGGGTGACTCACTCTTAATGAAAAGTTTACTATAAATTAGCACAATTAAAATTAATAAGGTCCTACATAAATTTACAAAGTTCTTCAGAAATTATGTTAACAAACAGAAAATAAAATGTTATCCTTCAGATTTCTGACAGGAGACCATTTACCCTGCAAGGTCTCCATCAGTAGATTTGTTTCAGTCATACAGACTCTAGCAAATAATTTCTCATCCTCTTGCAACTTAATTAAATCCCTGTCAACGTGAGGAAGTTCTAATATTTTGCAAATAAACAGTCCAGCTCAGACCAAGCTATGGCCATTTCAGCTGTTGTTGCTTCCTGGGGTACTGAAGCAAAGGAAGAGTCAGTAGGATTAAAGCACGGCTTATACCAGTGAGTTCCTCCAGCCTGGAGGAGGTTGTTGAAGCAACGCTGAGACTTCTCCAGCTGATCTCCAAAACCAGAGCGACCTCAGACCGTGCACTGCTGGCGGGACGCAGCACCGAAGGGCTTCCTCGCTCCAGCGGGACACTGGCATGCCCCCCTCCCTCCTGCTCCAGCATTTGGACGTGCAGACCCAAAACTGTACAGCTGACCTATTTTCTCTGTCTTCGGGACCAGGGACAGCGTGTTCAGGCTTTCAAGAGAAAGCTACGGTACCAAAAAAGGAGGACACGTTTAACGTGACGATGCGTTCTGTGACACGTACACACAAACTACCGAGTTTACGTGCTTTGCGGCCTTTTTGTCAACGGCGAACGGGCGATTTTACAACAATCTGGCACCAACAGGGGCGATTCGCCGGCGAACATTGCCAGCGCTCTCCAAACGCCTCAGCGGGTAACAGCGGGGCACAGACGACGACTTCCCGAGGAGCAGCAGTCCCCGGGGCGGGGCGGGCCGGGCCCGCAGCAGCACCCACCCTCCGGGCTTCCGGCCCAGGGCCGCGGGCTCCTTCCCAGCTGCCCGGTGCTCACCACGGGCGCCGCCTCCCGCGTGCGTCCGACCGCTCCTTGGCAGGGACACGCCGCAGCCTCCAGCGCCCGCCGCGCTCCGCGCCC